TTTATTCTCAGCTTTTCAGAGTCTCTTATGATTTGCCTCCTTCCCTCTCTAACTTTTTTTTTCCTTCCCCTGCCCCCTGGTCTTCTGTTAAGTTTCTCAGGAGCCACATGAGAGTGAAAACATGTATTATCTGTCTTTCTCTGTATGACTTATTTCACTTAGCACAACGCTCTCCAGTTCCATCCACGTTGGGTAGCACCATTTTATAAATGGAAAAGGTAAAGGCCAGGGACAGTTAACTAGCCACTTTCCCAAGACGCAGTAAAGTCTGAAATCTGAAATTTCATGGGAATTCTGCCCTCTACGTCCGGCATGTATTCTGGGCACTTTAGCTTCACCACGGTCTGCCAGCCGTGAAGGCCAAATCCAGCCTACTGTCTACTTTTGTACCGCCTGTGGCCTAACAGTGGTTTTTACATTTTTAAATGGTTAAGAAGAAAATCCAAGGAAAATAATATGACATGACACATGGAAATCACATTCAATTCAGTTTTAGTGTTGGAAAACAATGTTTTATTGGAACACACCATGCCCAGACATCTACATAATTGACTCTGGCTGGTTTTGCATCATAAAGGCAGAGTTGAGTAGTGGCGACAGAGGCCACATGGCCCGCAAAACCTAAAATATTTATCACCTGACCGTTTAGAGAAAAAACTTGCCAACTTCTGGTCTACGTAGTCACTTTGTGGTATGAGTTTGGATAAAGGGACGCGTGGCTAAAATATCAACTCCTTGTCAAGCATCATATTATTAGACACTTGACATTGATGATCTCCTTTTATTTCCCCCCAAACTTGGGTAGTTCTATCACCCCCACTTTTCAGAGCAGGAGTAGGAGACCAGCGGAAACAAATAAACAATTTGTCTGAGGTCACATAGCTGAGAAGAGAAAGAACTGAGATATAAATATGTTCTTTCTGACATCATTCTACTGTGTCCACAGTTCCTGAACGTTGTTCCATCTTTGCTTGAATAGTTTAGTTAGAAATGTTGTCATATATGTCTTAACAGCTGACACTAAGTGGCATCTCTAACACGTTGTGAAAAGGGGTGAAGGACACTGGATTCCTCCCTCCATACTGCTTGCTGAAATTACTGAAACAAGAAACTTCCTGGGTGCTTAGCATTCCTTCTGGAAGTGGGCACGTGTGCCTGGCTTCTCAGCTGTCTTGGCCAAGTGTCCGGGGGAGTTTTCACGGTGGCTTCCCTGTTCCCTGCCTGTGCAACCTGAGGTCCCCCCAACTGAGGCCATAGGATGGCCACCTCCTTACAGCTGGGGCTGAGGGCCCCAGGCCAGGAAAAGGGGGCTTCATTCACCATGAAGCTGTGTGTACAGTTCAAAAGCATATTCTCTTGGTCTCTAATTTGTCCTTGTTGTTCAGGCTTACAAGGAATGGAAGATCATTTCCTCATTTACACCTTCATCATCTGACTCCAGACAGGAAAACCGGCCACTGATTGAAGTGCCCCTGGAGAAACCCAGCTCCTCTCAGGGTCGGTCTGTTGTGATGAATCCAGAAATGTACAAGGTGATTTTCTGCCATTTGTCCACATGCTGGTTTGATGGGGAGGCAGTAAACAAGGTTTGGATGAGAAGACGAGGTTGAAAACAGAGTCTGGTACTTGACTGGTTTTTTTGTACGTCAGCAATGGCGAGTGGAGGGTGGGAGTGGGCGTGGCAGGGATCTCAGTGTTGGCAAACTCTCTTTTCTCAGCAGAGAGTGGGGCTTGGTGGGTGGGGCACTGTCTTGAACGTGGAAGGGGGAGGCTTGTTCTTTCTGTCCATCTCTGGAACTCAGCTCTCTTTGGAAATTTTGATGTTGCCGACAGGGAACTCAGACGTGAAATGCAGGGCAATAGTTAATAGAGACTTGTATACCAGCCTTAACTGTTGTTGGGGAGGAAAAATTTTCTCTACATTTCAGGATTCTTCTATCTTCTAGTTGGTCTAAAAATTAAATCGACACAAGACAGATTAACAGAAGACAACAAAACTTAATTATGTATGTACAGCAAATCGACATAGACCTGAGATTCCAAAAACAAACAAAATAAGGTGTATACGTCACCCTGAACCAAGGAGAAGGGGGTAGGGCTTTAGGGCTTCAAAGGGAAAGAAAGTAATTCACAAGAAGATGAAAAAGATAAACGTTTGGTAAGCAAATGTTTGCTGGGTCATCCAGAAACAATGGGACACAGAAAGGAATTTACACAGAGTTTGCTACCATTGTTCCTGTTTACCACCCCTAGTTCATATTATACTGTACTTGTCTGTGGTGATGGGCCCCTTCCTGGAGCAGGTCCTCTGTCTACATTCTTTTAGGCAGTCAGGGAGAAGGTCAAAGTTTCTTCCTGAGCCTTTCGTTTCTTAAAAATAATTGGCCCAGGGTGCCTGGATGGCTCAGTCATTAAGCATCTGACTTCAGCTCAGGTCATGATCTCACAGTTTGTGAGTTCGAGTCCGATGTCGGATGAGCACGAGCCCTGCTTTGGGTGAGTCCTGCTTCTCTCTCTTTCTTTCCCTCCCTCTCTCTCTGCCTCTCGCTCACTATGCCCTCTCTCTTTGTCTCTCTCTCAAAAAGAAAAGTAATAATCCACATGCCAAAGAGATGGTAATCCACATTTTGGGGTGGCAGATTTTGCACACGTATACTGTTAAGGGACCTGGCTTCCCCTTCCCTACACCCCAGCTACCTCACTGAGAAAGAGGCTAAACCTGAACAGTTCTGCAGAGTTTTTGACCGGGGGAGGTTGATGGGGCCTCAAGAGGGTAAGGGCAACATCACAGAAAATTGAACCAGCGAAACCAAAAATTTTGGGAGAAACTCCTGCCCTCGTTTAACGTCTCATACAAAGTGCAAAACAAACAAACAGAGTAGCAGTCATCAGGCACTGCAGAATTAGAAGTTAGATCACTGCCAAGCTATGCAAACCTCTAGGTAGCCACAAATCGGCTCTTGTCTTGAAATGTGCATTATTTAATTAAGTAGGCCTTCTCCATGCTCAAATCATAATACCCTTATATCTGTAGCCCTCAAGCGTGGCATAGGTCATGAGTAATTTTGTACTAATGATAGTGGTCATAGACGTGTATGAGTGGCTTAATTTTTAAAAGTAAGTTACAATAATTGTGTAAGATGTAACCATTGGGAAAACTTGAATGAAAGGTGCATGGGACTTCTCTACACTGTCTTTGGAACTTCCTATGCACCTGTAAATATTTCAAAATATAAAATTACGTTAGATCCAAGGGCAGTCCCGTGCTAGTGTTGTGCTCCCTTGTTAGAGCTCTGCTTACCTGTGCTGTGCCCACAGTTGAGTTCCTCGTGTCCCGCCCATGCCTGGGCTATACTTACGTTGGCTTTTTGTGTTTCACCCACATGAGTAAGCCCATCGAAGTGTATTGCGTTGAAGGTTTAAACAAGAGGCTGTCTGTCTTTGTCCTCGATTTAGCTCCTCAACGGAGAGCTGAAGCAGCTATATACTGCTATCACACGGGCCCGGGTCAACCTCTGGATCTTTGATGAAAACCCAGAGAAGCGGGCTCCTGCTTTCAAATATTTCATGAGAAGAAATTTTGTCCAGGTTGTGAAGACAGATGAAAATAAAGGTGAGATCTCCTTAAACTATTCTGGCTGTTGGGTACAAAACCGGTTACCCCTGACTTCTTCTTACGATACCTATGAAACCTATACAGGGTATAGGTTTTTGAGCGCGTGCTTTCTTTCCTTTGCACATTCTTCTGAGAAATGAGCGTTCATATTTACCGCTAAGGTATGTGGGAAAGTGTGGTTGTGATGGGATGGGGGGAGGTTAACTCCTTCAGGGAAAATCTTTTATTGGTCCTTTGAAAGTGAAGGTCATGGAGGGCACCTGGCTGGCTCAGTCAGTAGAGCATCTGACTCTTGACCTCAGGGTCGTGAGTTCAAGCCCCATGTTGGGTGTGGAGCCTACTTAAAAAAAAGCAAAAGTGAGGGTCATGGGCGAGGGTGAGAAGAAATAGGCTTTGTTGGGGGAACACAAATTGCTATGGTCTTTGGACAGCTGATTGGCGATATCCATCAAAATAAAGAATGTGCAGCTTTAAAAGTGACTCAGCAATTCTTGTTCTAGGAGACTATTCTAGAACATTCTTGTATAAAACCTCAAAAATTTATGCACAAGAGTGTTCATCACAGCACCATTTGTAGTTATCAGAATCTAAAACAACCTAAGTGTCAAGTGTCCACCAACGAGGAACTGTTTATGGCGGCTCCTCTGGTCCTGTGACACGTGAGTGTGGGCTGTTGAGTAGATATGGATACCTTTTACTTTTTCCCTTCTGTGCTGTTTGCGGTGTTGAGAAAGCCAAACCAATATTGTGTGTTGTGATAACTTACAGAGACTAGCTAATTAAAAACCGGAATGGAGGTCTCCTGGTAAGAGAACTAACAGAGAAACAATCAGCCCTTCATAAAGGAGAAAATTGCTGTCTTTCTTGTGGGTTAGCTGTTGAGTTGGCTCCTCTAGGCCACAGTTAATTTCTCCAAGGATGGGGGGAGGCGCAGGGCTCGGCCAGGGTGCAGAGGTCTGCTGATTTCCTGAGCATTTTCCATCTAGTTTTATGGAGACTATTTCTGGTTACAGCCAATGGCTCAGCTGGGGACCAGGGTGAGACGTCCTATTCCTGGGCCCCGGCGGTTAGGTGTAACAGGGGAAGTTGAAGTCTTGGAGTTAAAAAACCCTAGCTTCTCATTAGAACTTTCTACCTATGCGGCCACGTGACCTTGTTCAGGCACGCTGTCTCACCCCGGGCTTTCACTTCCTCAACGAAAAGGGAGCGAGTGGGCTGGCCTCCCATGGGTGTTCTTGGCCTTTCCTGCAGCGCAAACTCCTTTTGGTCTCAAAATAGATTTTGGCACCTGTTATGAGAGATCATCAGGAGAGGCAATTTTCCTTAATTTAAACATTCAGAATGAAACCAGATCACAATTTATTTTCCGTCTTGGTGCATGAAGAATACAAGAAAAGGGCAGTCTTTGCTGTGTTGTAAGTTGCACATGGGAAAGTCTGTGAGAACATCTGTTCCCACTGTGCAGGGGAGCTTGGGCTGAGCGCAGTGACTGTGTTTTTTGGGTTTCTTCATCATGGGCCGGCAGAGTTCATTGCCCTGTGCCGAGCTACTGTGGAGCTCTGCTGTGAAGGTAAAATGTCCCCCGGGTGCTGACAGCACTCGGGGAGTCAGGACAAGACGCTGCGAAGGTGTCTTTGCACTCACTGCTGCGGGGCATGGCAGAGGGCTGGCGGGAAGGATTTTGCGCCTTTTAAACGAAGCTGGCAGGTCCGCCTTGCTGCCCCCCGTTGATATCCACGGGCCCGGGGATCCCGGACCCCTCTAGCCCCAGATTGGCCTCTCAGCCTGGTGCTGGTATTCAGTCTTTCATGTCCTTCTTGCAGCTGTGGCTCAGAACCAGCAGAGAGGGTTGCCCACTGCTGGTGATGCTCCGGGGCTGCAGGAGGGGTGTGATCTAGTCTCCAGCAGGCTAATGTGACGACAGAAAGGCCCGACAGCAGGTGGCTGCGATAGTCTGCGTCCACCAATGGGGATGCGACACGCTGCTTACCATGAGGGCAAAGTCTGGGCATTTGAAAACACTGTAAAGCACTCTTACCTTGTTCCTTGCTAAAGCCCCTGTGTGGGAGTTTGCTAAGAGCTACATGGCTTTGGATTTTTAAGGAGGAATAGACTTTGTTTTAAAAAAAGATTTTTTTTGGGGCGCCTGGGTGGCGCAGTCGGTTAAGCGTCCG